TCAAAACTACTCGAATTTCCTCACTCACGTTGTTACGACTGAATCGACTTTTCAATTCTCTATCCAAGGATGCCAAAACGAATTCTGTGGCTCGAATGGTTCTTGAGAAACTTCGAAAAAAGCTGCGTCATGTTCAAGTGGATTTTGCAACTCAAGAAAAAACCACGCAAATCTAAAACTTCTTGAATTCAAGCATTTTTTGCGAAAACTGCAACATTTCCTTATCGATGGTTCACTTTCTAAAAAGGTCATTTAGTTCTCTTTGGAATGATGTTAAAACGAGCGTTCTTGCTCATTTTGCTTCCGAGAAACATGCAAAACCGGACGGAAAACATGAAATTTTGCAATAATCTTTCGCCACCCTTGCACAAATCGACAATCATTTTTCTAATTTCATAAAGACTGTATTTTTTTAATGTTTGAGATAAGCCCCTGGCAGTCTGGATTTTGAAAGTGGCGCTCTTTTCTTCAAAGGCGGGTGCTTCTAGCCCACCTGCACCCTAGATAGTGTGGACAATGTTCATCTCTGTCGTACATGAAGGTCTGAACCAGGACAGACGAAAACCGCACATATTCTGTAATGTTTTAATTATTTGAGTATCTTGACATGACTAACCTATAAAGGTTGACAGCTTCAAATAGTTTTTATTGACAAAAGTAAATAAACTGCATAAGGGCCCCAAGTAGTCCTACGGACTCCGACGATATAATCACGTAGTGAGGAAATGGACTATCGAGCCCAGATAGTTAAAACCGCCTTCTACAGCCGAGCATTTCTAGTGGTTCTGCAGTATATCAGCAATCATGCTATTAGTGACCATAAAGCTGACGCCTTCAGGTACATCTCCACGCACAATAGCACCGATTTCAGCATTATGGAGCATTTGCTTGGAGGTTTCGTGCGCTGGGATGCCCAGTATTTCATGCATATAGCCAAGTTCGGCTACACCTATGAGAACACCCTGGCCTTCTTCCCCTTGTACCCAGTGGTGGTTGGGTTTCTGGGAGAATCGGTTGTTGAACTGATTGGGCAGTGGTACATTGACTCGGTGCTGATTTTGATTTTCATCATTGCCAACATATACTTGTTCCAAAAAGCTGCCCTGGCGCTGTACGATCTTACGACATTTGCGCTAAACAATTGCGAAATCGCCTACCAAAGCGCCAGGCTGTTTTGCTTCAATCCAGCGTCGGTTTTCTTCGTTGCCCCATACACTGAGACCTTGTTCAGCTACTTAACTTTCCTCGGCATGCTAAGGGCGCTGCAATTCTTCAAAAAATACTCCGATCCAAACAAAGTGTTTGCCAAAAAAGATCTGCTAGGTCTGGTGCCGATTGCGCTGAGCACTGCCACCCGTTCCAATGGACTGTTGAATATCTGCTTCCTGTTATACACGTTTATTTGTTGGTATAAGGTGAGCCGCGAAATTTGGGTCTGGCAACGTAAGAGCCGTTACTTTACAGCGGCCAAATTGGTTTGTGTGATGCTCACATCCACAATATTTTGCCTTCTGCCTTTCCTGTTTTTCCAAATGTACAGCTACGCTAAGTTTTGTAAAACTTTCCCAGTAGAATCGTTGCCGGCTGAGGTCTTGCAGCAAGCCAAAGATAATGAGTGGATCTTACCAGGACAGCACGCAAAGTACAACCAGTCATGGTGCAACAATTTAGTGCCTTTGGCTTACAACTACGTGCAAAAACACTACTGGAACGTGGGCTTTATGCAGTACTACGAATGGAAACAGTGGCCTAACTTTGTTCTGGCTGCGCCCATGCTGGGCATTATCACGTTTTCCTGTCTGAGACACATCTGGTTGCATCTAATTAAAGAGCACAAACTCCAGATATTCACTCTGGCGGACACCAAGGATTATTACTGCAACAAGAAACGCCACATGAATGTAACCGTATTCTATGTTCACGCACTTTTCCTGGCTTTGTACTCGATGTTTTTCGTTCACATCCAGGTTTCAACCCGACTGATAGCGGCCGCTTCTCCAGTGTTCTACTGGGTCTGTTCCAGACAATTCACGCGCTGGAAGGTGCGGGCTTTAAGCCCCCTCGCTGAACGCTGTTTAATGTTCTATTTCGCCTTTTATTTCATCGTCGGCACCGTATCGTTTTGCAACTTTTTCCCATGGACTTAGTTGATATAACGGGGAATTTGCCTTTTCAATCAGTTCCGTGCTTGTTAAGACTGAAGTACGAGTACAAACTATTACCTCATAAGTATAGTGCTGTAAAATAATTGTCAGATGTGTGATAGTGTTTCCAATTCGAAACATCGAGATAGTGTTGGTTCCTATATAGGGAATTCAAGTGCGTTCAGAAACACCAGAGCTAAATGTGTTAAAACAGCCTTTCTACTCAACGCAATGGGATGTAATGTAATGAAAATAAACTTGTGTCTGAAATAATACTTTTATTTCAACAATAAACTGAACGAATACGAAATATTACGTACACTTGAACATGAAACGGGGAATGTTGCAAAACAAAATAACTAAAATACTGTGTAAAAACCGTTGAATTGGACTGGTGAAAATTAAGAATTCTGGACGGGAAAGCAAGGTGCTTCTCCGTCCAGATACATTGAGTACTGCACTAAAAAATGCTGCAAAATAGTCCGAGACTTCAGGCCCAGCTGCTTTAAAGATAATACCTAGAGTACATACCACTATGAATATGTAACGAACCGAAAAATAACCGCAGAATCATTTGATATGAGCAGCCCTACCTTATGTGGTATTTCTAATTTATGATTATATTACCGTACTAGACTGAAACAGGTGATTAATTAAACCAATTAGCAAAACAACCGTCTAACAATTACCAAATTACACAAGTTTTAAATACCCTATGCGACGCTTAGTATGTGTGCAACGTAACTCATTGTGTTTGGTATAATTATTATTGTGGTTTAAAGATCTTTAAACTACAATAATTATAGCTGAGGAAAGTTGCTATGACGAGTGATGTTGAAGGTTTTGATGCATTTTTCTACCCCATAATGCTTCTAGATCGAATGGTTGAAACTCCTGCAAACGCGTAATTCGTTTAAATCATCACACAAGCTTGAACGGCGGGAAAAGAATGAAGAACACGTGGAGAGGTTCAAACATGTGATTCTACATATTGTGTTAGGGACTGGAGAAGGAGGCTTAAGCAATGCGGTTATGATCAGAAAAATTACTTACTGGTTTCCGAAAATCCTCTGGCCCCTCATAGTAGGCTATATTGTTCGATCCTTTGTCCATTTCCACTTTCGACCAAGAATCGTGCACAAATTTGACCAATTCTTCATGCTGTGAGTAGACAGGCGTCTGTGGCACGTGGTGTGCTGCACTAGGCCTGTTTTCATGCGGCCTCGAATCATGAGACCGATGTTCGTGTCTAACGTCGTGAGATTGGGGCCTATTGTCATGTCTACCTTCATGCGAGGAATGTCTATGCTCGTTGTAACATTGCCTGTGATCCTGGTAGGAGGAGTTCCCCCGTCCATCGTGGTAGTTCATTCGGGATAAGTTGTTAGGCCTGCGATTGCCATTCATTGGCCCCATATTTCCCATCCTTGGACCACTAAAACGAGATCCACGTGTGGTTGCAGTGAAGGCTTTCGCCGATTAAAATACATCAAATCTGCCGAACCTTCGACCGTTTTCCCCATATGGATTAATTGGGCTAATAAGCCTCGAAACAACAACAATAAAGCTACTCTGGCTGAGGATCCATGGGGACCCCCATTAGAGCAACGTGCTAACGAAATGGGGCGATGGACGACAATTTTACGTACCTCATGCTGCTGAATCCACAAGAAAATGATAATTTTCTAAAGAAACTACCTCAATAATAGCAAAAATTAAACTTAGAGGAATTATAATAAACAAATGTCATAAAAGTAAATAACTTGTGACGGAAGCGAGAGTTCAGACTTGTCCTGAAACTTCTGTGAGCATAACTGCCGATCAAGCAGTGATCGCTTTTAACAACTGCTCTAGCAGCGTTGCCCTTGCGCAAAAAACTCCCAGATTGAGCGAAATTTAATAACTCGATGAAACTTTAGTCCATCCCACACACTACAAACTCAGTCCGAATTTTACAGTTAATCAAGCCTGAATTAGCCTACAGATCTCTAAAGTTTGGGGCTTTCTTTCTAGGTAAAACTCGAGAATTTTTATTGGGGCAGCGGCAAAGATCCGGCAACGCCCAAGTGCTACCCCCTGACGGCGAACATAACCTCAACACACGTGCTCTTCACAGAACATACCCCGGGGGATATTTTGCGGTGCTCTCAGAGACAAGTAGACAGGTTGTCTCTGGTGCTCTTTACTCTTCAAGGTTAAGCGAAATAAAGTGCCCCAGAAAATGGTGCGACAGAACAACCAGCTGGCAGAGAACCTGCCCCAGCTGCAAAACCTGATCAAAAGAGACCCGGCGTCCTACAAGGAGGAGTTTTTGGCGCAGCGCCAGCAACTGACCAACATCATGTCGGTGTTTCAGTTGGCCCCCGAGCAGTCGAACAAAACAATCAATGAGCGGGTGATGTTCATGGCACAAGTGGCGCAGTGCTACCCCAAGGAGATGGAGGACTTTCCCCAGCAAATTATCGATCTGATGCAAAAACACAACACTGTCCTGAACAACAACATCCGGATGGGTTTGTGCAAGGCTCTCATTATGCTGCGCAACAAGAACCTGCTGGCTCCTACCGATCTTCTGGAGCTGTTTTTTCAGCTCCTCAAGTGCCAGGACAAGTCGCTCAGACAATTTTTGGAGAGCCACATCATAACAGATATCAAGAACATGAATGTAAAGCACAAGAATGCCAAGCTAAACACCACGCTGCAGAACTTCATGTTCACCATGCTGAAGGACTCGAATTCCCGAGCAGCCAAGATGTCCTTGGACATCATGATCGAACTGTACAAGAAGAACATTTGGAACGATGCAAAAACAGTCAACGTGATTGCGACCGGATGTTTTTCGAAGATCACCAAGGTATGCGCCTGGACTCTATGTATTGTATAGTCACATTCCTAATCAGTTTACTGTGTAGATCATGGTGGCATCGTTGAAGTTCTTCCTGGGCAAGGATCCCGAGGAAAAGGACTCTGACAAATCAGACTCCGAAGAGGAAGTCGACCCGAAGGACGTGATTATGGCCAACAAATTCAATAAAAAGACCAGGAAACGAGCGAAGGTGCTCTCCAAAGTGAAGAAACTGGCAGCAAAATCCTACAAGAAAAAGAGCCAGGCGGTTACATTCAATTTCAGCGCAATCCATTGGCTGCACGACCCGCAAGGTGGGTATAATGAGAAAAATATTGTTGTAAACCCCATTGACTTTGACCATACATTTCAGGCATGGCAGAGAAACTCTTTAAGCAAATCGAGATAAGCAACCATCGGCTTGAGGTGAAACTCATGACCTTAGACGTGATATCCAGACTCATCGGTCTGCACAATCTCTTCTTGTTCAATTTCTACTCGTACATTCAGCGCTTTATTCAGCCACACCAAAGAGAAGTGACCAGAATCCTGCAGTTTGCGGCGCAAGCAAGCCATGAATTGGTGCCGCCTGATGTGATTGAGCCGCTGTTGAAAACCCTTGCAAACAACTTCATAACGGAAAGAAACTCGTCGGATGTGATGGCTATTGGCTTGAACGCCGTTAAGGAAATATGCACCAGATGCCCGCTCAGTATAACCGAAGACCTTCTCAGAGATTTGGCAGGATACAAGTCCTACAAGGACAGATCGGTTATGATGGCGGCCAAAGGGCTGATCCACTTGTTCCGAAATCTGCGGCCCGAATTGCTGCATAAGAAGGACAGGGGCAGGCCCAATGAAGCAACTGATGAAATGGAAAAGCTGGATTACGGGAAAACGGATGCGAAAGACTTCGTTCCCGGCGCCGAAGTCCTGCTCAATGAGGACCATTCTGAGATGAGCATCGAACTGAACAGCGAGTCCGAATCGGATGATGAACAGTGGGTTGATGTGCCCCATTCCGATGACGGCGGCAGCGATGAAGAATCCGACCTGGAGGAAGAGGAAGAGGAAGACGACACTGACAGGAAAATTCTTGAACCGAAACGAAGCAAGGCTGAGATTCTAAAAGAAAAAAAATCGCTGGCTCAAAAAGTAACCATTGAAAGACTGCTCACAGACGAAGACTTCAAGCGGATAGACCTGGCTAATGTACAAAAGCAAATGCAAAGCACCAAAGGCTCGAAGCGCAAGCTGGAGGAGGAAGCCCTGAAGAACAGGGACGACCTGGTGAAATTGAGCGACATAGAAAACATCTACAAGAAAAGAAAGCACGACAAGCAAACGCGATTGGCCACGGTCAAGGAGGGCCAAGAGGGGCGCGAAAAGTTCGGGTACAAAGACGGCCGCGTAAACATCCACTGCTCGAAGACCAATCGCGAGAAGAGCAAGAAGAAAAACGCCCAAATGATGCGCCATAAAGCACACGGCAAAGTCAAACGGAGTTTTAAGGACAAACAAATTGCTTTGAGGAACCATCTGTTAAAGCTAAAGAAAATGAAATAAAACTGTTATTTTTTATATCTGTTTTTGTTCCCGATAAATGAATTTGTACGCGAATGGCTTGCATCCTTGTGCGCCATGCAGAAACAACTTCAGCTCGGACCTAAAAACATTATGCCTTTTAATGTTATAACAACCAACCTCTGGCTTCATTCCAGCTCTTTTTAAAAACCTTTTAAATAGGGAGTAGGCAGACAGATTGACCTGGTTAGAGACTACAAATGTTTCCTAAATTTCCGTTGGCAACACATCTGGATTAGTTTTGTCTTCCAAGGCAGCTGGTTTTCCTTCAA